ACTATTAAATGAGAGCTGCTTTTTTTTGAAGGTACATTCTCCATATTGTCGTCCCTACCACTGCTTTTGTACTTGGTGAGTCAGTGACCTGAAAAAAGTGTGTAGCTGGTGCAGCACCACAGTACCTGATGTGTATACTGGTTTCAGGTCAGTGGTTCACTAACTGGTGGTGTGTGTGGATGAGGTTGACAGTCCCAGATGTGAAAAAGGAGGTCAGCAATGGCAGCTGCTTGCTTATTTCTTGTCACGGACCCGTTTAAAAAACAAAAAAAATGTGTATTGATAAGTATTATTGTATATGGGTGTTTCCCCTGCAATCAAAGATTAACCAATCCTCTGTGACTAGTTGTGGCCAGGATGAATTCACTGAGCATTTTCGAGCTGACTAAAGTTCTCATTTGAAAGACTATGTAAACATAGACCCTGTTGAGAATTCAGTGCTGTTTTAGGTCCTCTGCAATCTCAAACAGTCTAAGTTTCCTGCTCAGGTTACCGCTAATCTACAGAACGCCTGTAGTCCCTAAAATATTCCTGTCTCAGGGTGACAGTGATGCTCCTTCATAGATACAGTACAGTGAGTGAGCATTGTCACCTTAGGACAAAGTGTGTTACTGGCAGGTTCACCAGATGAAAGTGAAAAAAGCCATAAATAAGAAAACTAATGCAGCCACCACATCTAAGCACTGGTATGCTGCTATATGTAACATTTATGTTATTGTGTTTGCAGTCAGATTTGAGAAGCCCACTCTATGGCTATTCACTCACCATACCGGGGGTGGGGGGTGGGGGGGAGTAGGAAGGAATCTTCTCTTTCTAGTTATTTGGTGCAGGTTTATACATCGGACCATTGGGCAGCTTGTGCTGTTCAGAGTAGCTTGCAGTGTACAGTACATAAAGGGTTAATTGGGCGAAAGCTCAACCCCATCCCCTTCTCTAACATTATTAGGGAAGGCTAACTAGGATTTTTAAGCAAGTAAAAAGGTAAGTAGCCATGTAAAGTTCTGCTATGTGAATGAGATCATCTAACAAATATAAAGTAGGTGTTATCTCAGATTTGCTGCAAAAGTAGAAGTACACTTAAACCATGACTCCAACATGCCTCCTGTAAGAATCTGCATGTCTCTCCATCCTGCACACACTGCGTTATGTATTCTCTGCTCAGGCAGACGATTGATGCAGCGTCTGGATTCCATGGAATGGTGACGCTGGGTGGGGGTGTTGTTGCTGTGGCTTTTTTTTCCCTATCTCTCCGTGGGAGTTTGACATGTTATGGCTGAGGCTTAGATAGGAGGTGAGGAAGCTGTTAATACGTTTAATGAGTGTCAGCATCTGCCAGAAATAGCAGACCTGTTTAGTGATTTTTCTCACTCAAATTGGAGCGCAACCACGCATGGAGAAACAAGACGTTTCCTGTCGCTCCTCTTTCATTCTTAGTTCCATGTTCTCACTCATTATCATTCATCCACATTATAGCCATCTTTAGTGCAGCTTAAAGCCAAACTCTAGCCAAGTACACAATTGTACATAGATCTATCAACATTTTTATTGGCCAAATCATTTGTAGTTCTACAGTTCAGAGGATTGTGGGAAGATAATGGATATGATATACTTAAAGTCGTTACTTACAGTGTTTTTAAATATAATAAAGGGCCAACCCATCCAAACCATATATTTCAGATGTGTTTAGCAGATGCTGAATGTAACAGAAATGGAAAGTTGAAGTGCCACACCACTGCTAGGAAGACCAGAAACCACTTTATTTTAATAATAGTCAGGGGGACAATCCAAAAAGTAACCAACGCATTTTGGGGGGTCCAGGAGCGCCCACTTCATCAAGACTTTGATATGGAATTGTTAGTGACTTCACGATCCAGTGGTCTGGTGACAAATAGTAAAAAATACGCACTCACCAGCAAGAAACAGCCCATAGTGTAGTAGTTTAAAATTGGCTTTTATTAATAGCACTTCATCAGAAAGGCATGGCCATGCCTTTCTGATAAAGTGCTATCACACGAAATGCGTTAAAGGGGCCTGCACGCCGTGATGTCTATTGCACATTGGTCAGTAATTGTTTTTACTTTTATCTACATTTGAACTGTTTAACACGGGGATTAATAAACGCCAATTTTAAACTTCTACACTATGGGCTATTTCTTGCTGGCTCCTTGGTGAGCCTAACATCCGTTCCAGAGCCCAAGCATCAGGAGTCTGTGACAAATGACACCAACCCTAAGGATGACACACATCCTGATGTAAGCTACCCAGTACCCTGTCCATTTCCTAGAGGGAGACAATGGTTTGGCTGCTCTATACCCAGAGGAAGGAGAGTCCGCTCGTCCATCCCATCCCATGAGGGGGACCTCTGGTTTATCACATGAGTATTAATAATACGCATCTGGTGAGTGCATATTTTTACTATTTGTCACCAGACCACTGGATCGTGAAGTCACTAACAACTCCTGTATTGATCACTCATCACGAACTCTCACCATTTTATTTATTTATTTTTAATCTTTTTAATATATTTTATTGTATTACTTATATTGTGTCCTGATGAAGAGGGCACTTCTGGGCCCATATGTGTTGGATACTCTTTTTTGACTGCCCCCCTGCTGTTTATTGGAATAAAGTTGTCTCTGCACCTCTTAGCAGTGGTGTGGTGCTTCAATTTCCATTTTTGTTATATTGCAGTACAAATCGAGGAGAACATGGAGATCCTACAGGGTGTAGAAGCTTCCTGCCTCGGAATCAGATAATTTTCATCGGCATCAGTACAGCAATTACATTGAGATAACCCTACAGGCCTAGTGCTATTTTCCACTTTCTTCAGATCCTGAAGACTGTGACTCTACACTGGAGTCTGAACACCTGCTGAGGGCCGTCAGCTCTTCCTGCTGGATTCTTATTTATTAAATCTGAACTCTAGGCAAACCACTAAATATACAATTAAAATATATGTAAAGGGTGCTGTTTTATCTGCCAAAAGATTTCTGTTTCTTTCCATCAAGTTGTGAGCACCGACACACAGAACAGCCCTGAGTGGGCCAGAAGACCAGATTGTTCTCTGATGCAGTTAATTAAAACTGGTCTTGACGCTTTCCCACATTGTGATTGGACAGTGACAGGAAAAGCAGTAGCCTGATTCACTGTCATTCTACTCTCTCCTCTTACCAACATGTTTCTTGTAAGCACATGAGTACTTTAGCACAAATATTTGGCTCCCTAGTCTGCTTCTTCCTTTCCCAGTCTGAGCTCTGCTAGAAAGTTTGGGGATCTCTTGATACCAAGCCAAGGTCAGGTAGACCAAGAAAGATTGCAGCCACAGCTGCCAGAAGAATTGTTCAGGATACAAACAAAAACCCATAGGTAACCACAGAAGACACACAGGCTGCTCTGGAAAAAGACAGTCAGTGTGGTTGTTTCAAGGAGCACAATAATGTCAAAGAAACTTTATTGTGGCTTTGGCGCAGTAATGTCTTCTTTGTGGTAACTCGATCATGAAACTCATTTTTGTTAAAGTATCATTGTTCTCTTTGAAACAACCACGCTGTCTTTTTCCAGAGCAGCCTGTATTTCTCCTGAGGTTACCTGTGGGTTTTTATTTGTATCCTGAACAATTCTTTTTATCAGTTGTGGCTGCAATCTTTCTTGGTCTACATGACCTTGGCTTAGTATCAAGAGCTCCCTGAATTTTACACTTCCTATAAAGTAACTGAACAGTACTGACTGGCATATCCAAGGCTTTCGATATCTTTTTCCATCTTTATAAAGTTCCTTTGCCTTGTTACGCAGGTCTTTGACAGTTCTTTTCTGATCCCCATTATTATTATTATACAGGATTTATATAGCGCCAACAGTTTGCGCAGCACTTTATAAAATGAAGGTAGACATTACAGATACAATACAATTTGGTACAAGAGGAAACAGAGGGTCCTGCTCGTTAGAGCTTACAACCTGGGATGGCTCAGTATCCAGCCTGCTCAGTGCAGCCATGTGAGAGCTAACAAATGAATTGACTATTTATACACAGACATGGATTGCAATGTAAAAAGCCACCGATGTGGGAAATGAACCTTTACTTGCCATTTAAACTTGTGTGTCACCTTGTGAGTCTGTACCAAGGCCAAACATTCCAGGGGATGTAAACTTTTGATCATGGCCATTTGGGTGATTTCTGTTATCATTATGATTTAAAAAGGAGCCAAACTATGTGATAATAAATGGCTTCATATGATCGCTATCCCTAAACAAAACACAGTTTTGGCATGATCAGTCATATTGTCAATATTAGTGTCAAAATTTCACGATTTCTGCCAGGATATGCAAACTTTTGAGCACAACTGTTAGTTGTATCTGCATCTGCAGTTGTCTCTACAGCCATTCAAAGAATTTATACAGCTTGTTTGATCTCTTAAAAAAAAAAAAAAAAAAAGGGAATGGAGAGCTGAAATTAAATTCTGCAGAGCTCAGAGAGGAGAGCTCTGAGGGCTGATTGGAAGGAAGAGACACACACCCCCTTCCACACTGCACAGGAACAGAGATGAGGCTGTCAATCTGATGGAGGTCCCTCCCCTGTCACCATTTTTCTCTTGGCAGTAAAACTTGTAAGCAGAGACTCATGTTGATATCAGAGGAATTCAGCAGACCAAAATGACGCTCAGTGCTCTGGATTGAGACAAGCACACACTATAGAGGGATATGCTTTGTTCATATCTGAGGTTTATGATGATGATGGACATATTGGGCAATGCATTAGGGGTCTATAATTGAAGGGTTAAGAGCTCCTGGCATAGATGAACTGACGACTGTTTGTTTATTTTTGGTGTACCTGTCCCAAGCTCTAATAAACATTTTGTTGTCTCTCCTCTTCCGGCAGGATGTCAGATTGGGCCCGGAAAGAGGCCGAGCGTTTGGTGAAACTGAGAGAAGCACAGGGTCTTCCCTGCATCCCTCCAAACTACTATGATCCTGACAACTTGGTATTGCCAGATGATGATTAAGAGTACTTCCTGCTGTGTTCTTGTAGTGCAATAAACTATATGGTGGACCTGTTTACATGGCTGAGTTATTTAAATGCAGCTGGATTTATTGGCAGATGAGTGTGTACTGAGAAGACTTGCAGACTGCACTTCATGTCCATGTAGCACAGTGTGGTTAGGTAGGGAGGAAGATGTTTACTCAGCCTGGACAAACCTTACTCTGGAGAACACCTAGAAAGTGTCTTGTTATCAGATTGCTGAGAGGTGGGCTGCATGTTGAGTATGCTCTTTGCGGGGCTGCTCTCAGCAATCTCCTATGTCTACCTGACATTACGACCACATATGTTGGAATAGGAATGTGAGCTGCTACATTTGCATACAGAGTGGGAGCTCATGTAAGCTTTGAAGAGGAGGGCTTAGAAAACTTCCTTATTTCTTGCCAATTACACAGTAACCTGGGTGCCTTGTAAAATGCTGATTAGGCCAGTGCTGACAGGTCCGACTTTAAAAGGAATCTTTCAGGATAAAAATACAGGATCAGCCACTGTCAAACTGCTTTTAAGATAAACCTTTTGCAAACCTGAATAATTGTTAGTGAGCACATGAAGAATCACATGAGTGGGGAACATATCCAGAAATACAGACAGCAGATCAAAACCTTGCTGCCTCCTAATTCCCCCTTGGTCCCCCTCTGTCCCTCGAGGCCAGAAAGGCTGATTACAGAAAGCGGTAGCACTACACTACAAAGAACACCTTATTTCCACAGCAGGTGTGGACTCTTTACATTTCAGGAACGCAGAGACTGTATTAGTAAGCAAAAGCATTGCAGAAGATTGATAATGGGCAATAGTGTTTGCTATTTACACAACTTCCAAAATCTGTCAATAACTAGACTTGTGTCCTGCTAGCCATTTTATATCTGTAATGCACAATAGTTCTAATAGATTATTATTATAATACAGGATTTATATAGCGTCAACAGTTTGCGCAGCGCTTTACATTATAAGGGAGACAGTACAATTACAATACATTTCAGTACAGAAGGAATATGAGGGCCCTGCTCGTGGAGCTTACAATCTAAAGGACGGGGGAGGTGATACAAAAGGTGATATCTGCTGGGGATGATCTGGCGGAGGTGATTCAAGTACAGTTCTTAGGTGGAGGTGGGGTAGGCTTCCCTGAAGAAGTGAGTTTTCAAAGATCGCCTAAAGGCAGACAGGGTGGGGGCTGACTGGACATGCTGTGGTAGGGAGTTCCAGAGGATGGGAGAGGCTCTGAAGAAGTCCTAGAGGCGAGCGTGGGAGGAGGTGATGAGGGTGCTAGAGAGGAGGATATCATGGGAGGAGCAGAGTGGGCGATTTGGGTGGTGTCTGTGGATGAGGTTGGTGATGTAGCTAGGGGCAGTGTTGTGGATGGCTTTGTAAGCTGTGGTTATTATTTTGAATTTTATACGTTGGGTTAGTGGAAGCCAGTGAAGGGATTGGCAGAGAGGGGCAGCAGTCGCTGATCGGTTGGTAAGGTGTATGAGTCTATCAGCAGCATTCATAATAAACTGAAGGAGGGATAGCCTGTGCAACAGTAGACCAGTGAGGAGGGAGTTGCAGTAATCGAGGCGGGATATAACCAAGGCGTGGATAAGTTGTTTTGTGGTGTCATTGGTCGACAGGAAGGGGTAGATTTTGGAAATGTTCCGGGGGTTGAGGCGGCAGGATTTAGCCAGTGAGTGGATGTGGGGCCCAAAGGAGAGGTCAGAGTCTAGGATTACGCCTAGCACCCTGGCATGAGGGGAAGGACCAGTGGTTGTGCTGTTGATCTTAATGGTAAAGTTGTGGGTGGGGGATCGGGGAGGAGGAAATATTTTGAAAGATTGAGTTTAAGGTAGTGATGTCACATTCATGCTGATATGTCGCTTAGTAGATTTGTGATACGTGAGGAGATTGAGGGGGTGAGCTGGGGAGTGGAGAGAGAGATTTGGGTGTCATCAGCATAGAGGTGGTATTGGAAGCCATGGGAGGTTATCAGTTGGCCCAGGGAGGAGGTATAGAGAGAGAAAAGGAGGGGCCCAAGAACAGAAGCTTGGGGTACCCCAACAGAAAGAGGATGAAAGAGATGAAGAGGGAAGGAAGAGACTGTTAGAAATACTACAACCTATAGAGAGCAGAACGTTGTACTAACTAAATGGAAGTCGGCTTATTCAGAATCCTCTTTCATGCAGCCTTTTCTCTGAGTTGCTCTCCTACAGCTGCATTCAGAGCAGTGCAGACATGCTCAGTGAGGGGAAAACCATCTTAAAAACAGATTTCTATGTAGCCAGGTCTCGTGTATGTTTCCCTATTACCTCTTTTCATTTTACAGAGCTCCCTCTGATAAAACCACTAGTTTAAACTTTGCATGCATTCTGTCGCTGTTCATTTTGGGTTTATTGGTACTCAACAACTGCAAGCGTTTGCTGAACTGGCACTAGGAAATCTCGGTATCTGAGGTGGTCAAATGACAATTCTTCTCTGAAAGGCAATTGTGCGCTAAAGCTATTTTGTTTGATGCCGTCAGCCTGTGATGTGTTAGGAGACGGACTCAGAGCTATCTACGTCCACTGTGCGAAACGTGACGCTAGTCACTTTAGCGTGATTAGAGATTTATGTGATACCGTTTAATGCCATGCTGTAAATCCTATTTTATCACTGCTCTGCTCTTTTCTTTTTTTTTTTCCGTGAAGGGTGGAGTAAGTGTTGTTGCCATTGTGCTAGTCACTAATCTTTAAGGGAGATTAAGACATAACTGCATTACCCCATGGGTTTAGTGGACTACAAGCCACGCTCGATGTAGCCATTTTGTGACTTAAGATGGCCATACACTTGTAGATTTTCGGACGAGAATATTCGCATGAAAACTCGTACAAAAATTCTTTGAACATTCGATGAAGGGACAAATGTCGTTTGAAAATTGTCTTTTGCTTTTAACATTCGAGTTTAAAATGAATGTAATTTCTGAACGATAACCACATATACTTGCCGAAAATTCCTTTTGATCAAGAAAAGTTTTCCTTCCTGCCCCATCGAATTTCCACCTCACTGCAGTTGAAAACAAACATCGATTTGACCCCACTCACCATTAGAAAATCAAACGAATATTCTTAAAATGAAAATTCCAGTACAAAAATCTATATATGTATGGCCAGCTTTAGACTTATTTTTTTTTTTAAGCACTTTCATCAGCTGATCTAATCACTGGCTGAGTATGCAGCTTCTGTATCTTTTAATCCTTGCCTATGTTCCAGTTTAAGTTGGTGCATGACTGCTGCCCTAGGTTTCCTGTTTCAGGGTGTCCCCTTTCTCTTACAGTGTCCTATGGAGTCACCCTTGCATGCAGGGGTTAGAGTTTCTCCCCCTACACAAGAGAATTGCACAACCTCTTAGGAGACTGCACTGTCCACCATTATCTCTTTTCCTGTGAAGTTCAGGGAAGCAGCATTGAGAGAGCAGGTGCCAGCAGCATTGAAAGTTGAAAGCTATAAGTGCTGGGGTAATAATTTTAACAAATCTTTTACTGGGGAATGTTTATGTTCAATGTGTTAAACTGAAAAACACTGAGGGCTTAAAGTGTTACTAAACCCAGGATCCTGCATTCACTATATCTGGTCTCCCACAGTACACACAACATGGAAATGCAATTATTTTAGTGGCAAGTATAAATATAAACTGCTAAATACCTTTTCTCATCAGCAGTTAGAGCAGTCTTGTGACTTCTGTCTGTGTCCAGCCCAGCACTAGCTAAATCTTTGTAGGAGGAGTTTTCTTTCTGTGCTAGGAGGATAGAAATCCCCTGACCTGTCTGGATAGTGTTTATTGGCCCTGTGCTGATCACATGCACTCTCCCAAGAAAAAAAAAAAAAACCTCTAGCAATATACACCAAACTGAGCATGTGCATGCCTACGGTTCAGTCTGGAGATAAGTGGTGGTTGCTTAAAAAAGGGGAGAAACAGAGAAAGATCAAACAGCCTTTTTACACAATGCAGAGGATTAACCCCTTAGGTTCCACAGTGAGTATAAGGGCTCATGTACACTGCAGCTGATAAACTCAGTTCAGAAGCTTTTCTGCATTTTCATTTTTCAGCAGCCCCTGAACTCTCCCTAATGTTTTCCTATGTATCCATGTACACATAGTCATTTACAGGCATTTGAGTTTACAGTAGTTTTTTTTTTTTTAACGCACCAAACTTGCGTTCAGGAGTAGATTTTATCAGTGGTTCAAACGCTTGTAAACGCGGCTAACCGCATTTATAAGCGTTTACGTTTACAAGTGTTTTTAGAACTGTTCTATATCCAGATGCTGTCCAGAGCCTTTTTTCATCGTTAGAAATGCATGCAAAGTGTTTTCCATGTATTCAAATGGACCTAGTACACTGGCTAGCCAGTTCCAGGTTTTACATGAACGAAAAAATGGTTAGAAAACGTGCTGCATTATACTCATGATGGGATCCATAGTGAATACAACCAGAAAAGACAGGTAATCTCAACACATACTGCTCTCTCTATTTCTCTCAATGTCTGAAATAGTTAATTATTTACTATTTTTCAGTGCATTCTGGGCATTTTGGAAGCTCTCCTGAGGTTATTTAAAAAAAAAAAAAAAAAAAAAAAAAACGCTTCTAAATGCAAACGTGCTTAACAGGTTCCCGCCCGGCCTATAGCCAGATGGCGGCCGGCAAAACACCTCGTCCCTCCGAGTGGACGCCATATGGCGTCCTTTCAGGAATGCGCAGTTTGCCTGTCCACAGAGCTGCGCAGCGGTGCGATCTGTCACCGTCCGTGTACCTCCGGACACGGCCGATGACCAATCTGTGTACCGGCCCCGTTGCCGGTACCATGTGACCTGCTGTGACCAATCACAGCAGGTCACATGACAGTTGTATACAATGGATGGCTTCCTTTCATGCCATCCATTGTATACAAGTGTGGCTAGCTGTGAATGGTCACAGCGATCACATGCACAAGCTGGGCCAATCACAAAAAAAAAAAAA